TCTTTTATCAGAATTTTCCCAACTACTGAAGCCAAAAAGATAGTCATCCCATCTCCTGGGAATCAAAATGAAATGGAGATAGACACCTGAGTGGCTCTCCAAGTCCCGAGAGAAAATTAGTAATCAGATCGGCTGCAGATGGCCTGTGATATGTTGCCACTCAGGCATATGCTTAGAAAGCAGATCTTCATTAACCTACATCCTGACATGGTGAATTGTAAAGTTACAGGGAAACTCTCTCTGCATTAATTTCTATTTATGGTGTTACCAATCAGTTATGCTCAAGGATATCAACTTAGTTTCTGTGTTTTGGAGGAAAGTGGCTTCTTTTGCCTGTTCCCCCTTTCCCTATCCACCAACACATCCTAAAACCATAATGGTAAATCCATTACAAGCATCTAGGATGGCACTCACTAACATAAGTGCCGAGAAATACCCTCATGCACTGCAAGGTTCCTCATACAATCAAAACATCTGGATTTTATCTATTTCTCATGTAGAATGAGAAATTTGATGGGAAAAAAATGAAGAGCAATCATCTTTAATGAAAGTTAGCTGGAGCCATGCATCTGAATCATCCATCAATATATTTCACTTGTCTGTCATTTTCTACCTTTTCTGAAAAATAAACTCTTTCCATGTAGTTCTGTTCCCTGTTGTTTCTAAAGTCAAAAGAGCAAAAATTATGGGTAGGAAGTAAGCAGAAATGTATTTTTCTACTTCTGTTAGGTTTGGGGAAATGATGTTTAGCTTTGCCTTTGAAATTTGCTTGTAACTTAGGCGATTACTGAGCTGTACTACAATGAAACAAGGAATGTTATTAGGCAAGGGCTGGGGAGAATAACATATGCTACATTGCTTTACATTACCAGCTTGCAGAAACCACTTCTAGAAAAAATCTGGTTTGAAGGATACATTAGAAGAGGCTATTTCCACTTCATTTCAAAGAGACTGCATGTCATGTTATGTCATGTTTTCTTAAGTGGCATGGCTATGATTTTATCTTTTGTTCCATTAAACTAGCTATATGTTTACAAGTGTGGGGTTTTTTTCCATGCAATTAACAAACAAACAAACAAATAAGCACTGAATAAGCACTGTCAATTTTTTTTATTATTTTTTTAATTTTTTTTCCTTTCCCTTCCAACTGATTCTCCCAGTTGGCTAAAATCACATCCTACAATAAATTGAGTAGTCTATTTATTAAATTGTTTACAGATGATACAGATAGAATCTACTAGAAAGCTGTTAAAATAGGAATTTTTAGCTAACTAGCTTGTGTTGATTTTATGTGAAAAGATCAGATGTAGAAAGAAAATTAAATGCATAAAAAGGAGGAAATCAGACCATCTGGGTATTTACAGCAGTAAAATACTGCCCATAAATTAGAGATCAGGATATCCCCTTTCCCCTTCTCTCTCTTCATTACTAAGAAATTGCTGGAAAGGTTTGCATTTTTAAAGCATTCCAGACCTAGGATACTATTGTAGGAAACTGTCAGTGAAATGACAGATTTCCTTTTATTGCTGAATGAAAGACAAACATACATCTTATTTCTTCTCATCTTTGCAGAATGTCTTCCAAACTCAGCTACAAAATGACTTTAAATTAGATTTTAGATAAACCCACTTAGAGTAAAACTGTTCAGAATCATAAATGATTACAATAAGAAAAGAAAAGAAAATCTATGGACAAGTAAGAGTAGATAAGGGAAATAAAATTAAGAAGTCAGCAAGACCACACAGAACTTTAAAGGAATTCAAGGCTGAAATAGCTGACTCTTACTTAAAATTATTACCTGAGATTAGAGTGCCATTCAGAGATTCAGAAAACAACAAGCCTGTAAGCCTGATATCTGTTCAAAACAAATAGATGGAAACTACAATATGGAAAAGTGGATATCTGGATAAACATAACTCATCTGGGGAGAGTTGAAAAGGTTCTCATAAAAGGAAGTCCTGCCTCACACACATAAGGCAGTCCTTTGAGGGGATCAAAAAACACATGGATAAGGGTGATGTGATTGATCTCGGATTTACAAAAGGCTTTCAACAAATTCCTTCACCAAAGGCTTCTAAGGAAACCAAGCAGCCATACTGTAACATGGCTTAGAAATATAAAGTGATACACATGGGGAAAACAACCCATAAATTCACATATAAAACATGGGTTTTGAACTGACTATCACTAGACAAAATTTTAAACTTTTAAAAGATAGTTCCATGAAAACATCTACTCAGCAGCATCTGAAAAAGTAAATCAAGTGCTAGAAATGTTTGGGTTAGCAAATAGTGAACAAAAGAGAGGATATCACGTTATGGTAAAAATCCCAACTCTGCAGCCTGAAGATGGTGTGGCATTCCAGCTTTCACCTCAAAAAGCATACTGAACGACAGAGGATGCAGAGAAAGTCAAAGACGATAACGAAAGGTGAAAGGTGTGAGACATCTTCTGTATAAAGAATGACTATTCTATTTTTCCATTGAGAAAAGATGACTGAGATGGATATGTAAGAGGGAAGAAGTCTATGAAAAAAGTGCCTGGAAAGGGTGGCTGAGGATTGCTCAGTCAGTTTCTTCTGCTCCAAGAAGCGGGGGATGTCAAATCAATCTGTAGGATCCAGATTCAAAAAAGAAAAGGTGATTCATTCTGTCATAGTGTAGTTAGGGATGACTTCCTATGAGAACCTATAGATACTTACAGATAGTTACAGACATCACATGTTTTTCTTACTGCAGAGCAAGCAACAAAATCTTCCTAAGAAGGAAAAAAAAAAGCAGCAATGTGTTTGAAATCATTGTTATAAAACCACCAAGCAATGACTGAACAACTGTTTTATCATTTTACACAGTCCTTTTTTATGGTCAAAGGAGATAGAAGCATCTATATCTAGTACAAATTACCATTAAATACATGTTCATTCAAATGCAGGGGTGCTTCTCCTTGATTTTTTTCTACAAAAAGTACATGAAGAAGCATAGAAACAGAGATCATAGAATCGTAGAATGGTTTTGGTTGGAAAGGACCTTAAGATCATCTAGTTCCAATGCCCCTGCCGTAGGCAGGGACACCACACACTAAACCATGATACCCAAGGCTCTGTCCAGCTTGACCTTGAACACCACCAGAGATGGAGCATTCACAACTTCCCTGGGCAACCCATTCCAGTGCCTCACCACCCTCACAGTAAAGAACTTCTTCGTTACATCTAGCCTGAATTTCCCCTGTTTCAGTTTAAACCCATTACACCTTGTCCTATTGCTACAGTCCCTGATGCAGAGTCCCTTCCCAGAATCCTTATAGGCCTCCTTCCGATACTGGAAGGCTGCTATGAGGTCTCCACACAGCTTCTCTTCCCCAGGCTGAAACAGCCTAAACTTTCTCAGCCTGTCTTCATATGGGAGGTGCTGCAGCCCCCTGATCATCCTCATGGCCTCTTCTGGACTTGCTCCAACAGCTCCATGTCCTTTTTATGTTGAGGACACCAGAACTGCACACAGTGCTCCAAGTGGGGTATCATGAGAGCAGTGTAGAGGGGCAAGATCACCTCCTTTGACCTGCTGGTCACGCTCCTTTTGATGCAGCCCAGCACACAGGTGGTTTCTGGGCTGCATGCACACACTGAAGCTGGCTCATGTTCAGTTTCTCATTGACCAACACCTTAGGTTCCTAAGATGATCTCACACCTAATCCTCTCCTACAGTGGGCCTAAGGTCTTCATTCTCACAGTCCCTGCATCTGTGCAGGGGATGTGCCAGATGCATCTGCATTCCAAGACTTCGGTGGCAGGGCTAGAGAGCACTTGCTGCTGAAGACTGAGGTAAAGAAGTCTTGAGAACTTCAGCGTTCTCCAAATGCAAAGTAGCCAGTTCTCCTGTTTCCTTCCAGAGAGGGCCCAGGGAGGTTGTGGAGTCTCCTTCCCTGGAGACATTCAAAGCCCGCCTGGACACATTCCTGTGTAACATTATCTAGGTGTTCCTGCTCTGGCAGGGGGATTGGACTAGATGATCTTTTGAGGTCCCTTCCAATCTCCAGCATACTGTGATACTGTGAGTAGGAGCACTTATGCTGTCGGTTGTTAACACACAGCTAGGACAATATTCATCCCTTGGTGAAGAACAGCCACCTCTCAAACCACTCCAGCTAGACCTAGAGGAGCTCAACTGTTTACAGTATGCATTACCCCGAGTCAGCAACAGGGAATGGAACTGAACCCAGGTCTTGTAAGGCACCAGCAAATTAATTTCCCACTGAATCTTTTTTTATAGTAAGGTTCCTCTTTAATGACAAAATGTAGATCATCCATTAACAGCATCAGGAGAGAGATCCAATACTTCATTCCACTAATCCTCTTCCTCTCTCTGGTAGGAAAAGCAATAGGCTGCATAGGAACAGATATTATTAGGGTCTAATAAAGATTCAGGTCATTGCTAAATAGCAGTGGATGTTTAACTATACTGAGGGTAGAGAGAACCAGCAAAAGAAACAATCCCAAGACAGGGAAATTAGAAATCTCTTTTGTGTTCTTGTTTTTTTGGGGGGTTTGTTGTTTTTTTTTTTCTGGATACCTGCTGTGCTCAATAAAGTAAATGAAGGGTAGAGATGAAAATCATAAACCCAGTTCAGTCTAAGTATTATCAGTTGTTCAGTTTTTATGTGTGGTTTCATTTGAAATTCTGCTTTCTCCTTTGTTTGGAATATGAATGCAAGAAATGGGTACATTAGAGTCTAAAACATTTGGCACCATTTAATAAAGTAAACTTACAACCTAAATTGTCACTGGGAAACGTACACTTCTTTTTCTGTTGTTTTGATTTGCTGTCAAAAGAACCATGTTTAAACACAGTCTTTTCTGCCTCATGGCTGAGTTTCTTTGTGCGCATTTCCCCAATGTTACTTACTTTACTTTGAAGGTGGGCTGAGCATAGAAATCTGACGAAAGAGTGGGTTGTGCCCTTGACTGGAGGGAGCGCTTACATTCTTCTGAATGACTACATTTGCTAGTGCAGTACACAGCAGCAGCAACAGTGTGGTGCTCTGGGGCTCCATCTCTGCCTGGCAGACAAATCTCCAGCTTGTTGAACATCTGCAAGACAAATTTTTCATGTTCTGTAAATGAATGCTGCCTAACTGCACCAGGAAAATGGGCACAGGGGATTACCTCTGCATTGCTATGAGTGGAGGGGCACCTTGGGGCTTTAGATTGCAAGGTGGCAAGGAACAAAAGCAGCCTTTGCAAATCGCCAAGGTAGGATCATGAGAGAAAGATGTTACCAGTGTTTTTCGAATGGTTTGTTTAAATATAGACTGCTTTCAGTGAAATGGTTGGTGTGGGTCTTATTGTGATGCTTGTTTGAATGTGCTAACATGTTTTCCAGAGATTCTACTGGTGCTGATTATGTTTGTGTCAATAAAAGATTACTTTTTAGTAGTTTGCTAGCATTGCAAATATCATCTTAAATGTTAAAAGTTTGAAAGAGTGAAATGATGTGTACCTTTCAGCTTCAGTTTTGATTCGCTGTATGGTTTTGAATGTACTCAGCAAGCACAAAACTGAATCTCATGTTAGGAAATGCTGTTACAGTCATCAATTTATGATACTTAGGCATAGAATGGATACATAGATACATTCTAGGCATAGAATAAATACAGTTTTATCATGAGAAAATGTTCTTACTATTTTGGGAATCCTGCAAAGCATTACACTGTGTTATCTCTGGTTTTGGAAAGTTATTCAGTCTTGGAAGCAGCTTTTATAGATGCCAAACACTCCCTCTTCTATTTTGTGCTCAACACTAATTACTAATTAGTGACCACTTCATAATTATTTTCATGTATAAAATGAGAGCAAGACAGACAGTAGAAATTCAGAATAAATAAAAAAGAGAAACTGGTAACCCCAAGTTGCAAAAATCATAGTTAAAAAATAGTTTTGTTAAAAATCAATGCTTGCTCCATTGCAACAGCTTCTCCACTGGTGCAACAATGAAGATTTGTCATGGTTATTAAGGCTTATGTAACTGTAAGGAGCTGTACTCTGTTCTAATATACAAGAAAGGCAGATTTTGTCCAGAGCTCAGAGGTCAGCAAAATACCACTGGATGAAATGATACTGGGACTGATCATCCTACAGTGTATTCTGCCTTGTTAAACTGAGCAAGAGAGATTAAAATGTATCTTATCACCTTTTAGTATTTTGGTAGTCCAGCACATTGAGTGTTAAGCTTTTCGTACTTTGATGTAGTATTTTAGAGCAGTAGGTTAGCTATTTTGAGTTCCAATTCTCTTTAAGCTCTCAACGCACTTATTAATTAGTTAAATTTAATTTACTGGGTCAGTTAACCTTTTCACAAATAGCAGTAAGCTACAGTAAGAAACAGTAAATTACCTTCTTTTATAAAGGAAGATCCTTCTAGTTCCTGTGTCAAGACATCTTTCATTATTATTTTTGATAATTGCCAGGCCATAATATTAACCATATTCAGTAACAGAGCTATGATTTATTGAGTGTATGCCTTGTTTTTCTCATTACTGTTAGGTTTTTCATTTGTTTTGATACTTGGAAGACTTGGGACTTAATTTTCCTACTATGGGCAACTGCTGCTTTGTAAGTAAAGACACTGATAACAGATGACAGTTGAATCCTGCCATCTAGTGAAAAATTGTAGCTGGAACTTAAAACATTGTAATTAACGATAAAAGGCAAGTGACCCTGGTTACATAAAACCAAAAGTAAAAAGAACAGTAGCTTGAACACAAGATTCTGATTAAGCTTTAAAATGGAATATTAACATCCTAGACTGTGGCACTTAAGTCTGGGTTTTGTTTTACCACTTAAATTTGGGATTTGAGAACTCGATACATGGTAACAGTTGTGCCTTACTTCTAATGGGAAAATGCACTAGTGAAATATATCTAAACATAGAAAAAGAATAATATGTATTTTTAGAAAAAAAAATCTCAAAGAAGCATGAGTTCATTTTCTTGCCAATGATCCCAATCAAAAGGCCATGCAATACAATACTTCAGAACACCCTTTGTAAGAGTACGTGCGCATCAGCATATACAAGTGTTATAAGCACGGGGAATAGGGTGCTCTATGAGATCCAGATCGCTCATTTCTCCATGCTTAAGAGTTGGTCACGACCAGTAAGATTTGAAAACTGACATCAGTATCTGGCTGAAAACCTGAAACTCAGACTTGACAGGCTACAGCTTTCTATGGGACTCACTCTGTCAGCAGCCTTTGCCGTCCCTCCCAGGGAGCCAGGGCACTCTCAGAGGCACAGACATGGGTCTCCAGGTCAGGCACCACTGTCAGGTTGAGGCATCACAAGGTGGGCGGCGTGCACCTACACTGTGTGTGACCTTTTCTGTGGAAACACAAGGTTTTCAGCTCTTACTCTGCTACCCATAAAAACAGAATCTAGTAATGCACAAAAGAATAAGGAATTGCTCAACTAGGCATAACAATTATCTTACTGGCTCAAAAATCCAAAGGTTGTGTCCTAAACACAGTAAAAAATTGGTTTGGTTTTCTGGGCCTTTGGAGTGAGTTTTTGCAGTTCGAGGTTCAGCTTCTCCACTGATGTATACTAATGTAGCTCCATGGATTCAGGGGGTCGTTCCCAATTTATACCAACCAAGATTTTGTCCGAAGGGTGTATTTCTGGTTGGTGTCTCAGCTTGGAGGAGCTGTGAAGGCTGCAGAGGCGTTGTTCTTCCAGTTGCTGTCACAACCTGAGCAGGGTATATCTCGGGACTGCTGCAGAAGGAAGCACACTCAGGCCCCAGTCACAAGCAGAGCAGTCACAATACAGATCTAAAAGGGAGAGGGATGTGAAACAGGAGGAAATGAGATAATCCATGAAAATATGCCAAGATACAAAAATCCTAAAGTCACACTTATCTATTCTTTTGTTACTGGAAATATACTGCTTTTAAAGCTAATGAAATAAGTTACTGAAGTGTGGCTTACGCCTTTTAAAATACTGTTCTATTACGTTTAGAGAAAAAAAATCGTAAACTGTCTCCCCATTGCTTTTTGCCCAGCTCTTGCAGCATATATGCAAGGAACATTTCCACTAAAATCAATGAGAGTTTTGCGTGTAGTATGAAGTGTTGTCTTTCATTATCATCGGAAGTGTTAACAGAGAGATAGAGACAAACCTTTTGCCTTCACAAGAAACATCTCAGTATTTTTTTTCTCAACAGCACAGAAACCAGGAAATTTTCATCAGCAAATAGTTTTGCATCCATTAAATTAGATTCAAGACATTTCAATAATTCATTAGATGTGAGATTGCAACAAACGGAATTTCTTTCAAGTACTACAAAGAATCCTCCCCACCCCCTTTTTTTTAATATTTAACTCTTATTCAAAAACATAAATTTTGCAAACATTTGACATATTTTTGATGGAGGCATACAAATTGTTTAACACACCTCCTCCTCCCAACCCTGGCTCTGTACATCAGCTTACTTTGGTATGTCCACTAATGTTCTACATACTTCATAAAAAAATATTTTCAGTTAAAAAGATTTTAGATATTCTATATGCTGTCCACATATACCATAAAATCTATTTCAAATACTGACATATTGTGCTAAGAATAATATCTAATAAATGAATGTTAGTAAAAAAAAAAAGATAATCAGAAGTGTAAAGCTGAAGAAACTGGTTGTATCAGTTGTGCTGCATATGCACCAAGGCACTAAATCATGTCAATATTGCACTGCAGGACAACTTCCCTGAAGCAGGAAACAGCTGGGAAGTCTCAGTACAACAGTGACCCTAGATGTCTGAGAATTCAAGGTATATAACAGCCAAGTGACATGCTGTTCTTTCTGTTTCCACTGTGAGATATATGAAAGAAAGCTTTCTCATGAATATCATAGATTTTTTCTTGTAAATTTATTTTCAGTTTTCAACTAAAAAAGATATAAAAACTGTATGCACAAAATGTGGGTGATTTTCTGGACTAGCATTTGGAAGAAAGTCCTGTGAGGTTTTCTACTAATACTTAACAATACCAGCTATTTTATATATAATGAAGCTATAGTCTTTTAGAAGCACCTCTTTTGCAACAGGTGATTTAATGGAGTTGTCCTATAGATGATTTAGATTTACAATTCAGCTGTGATGTAACTCTATTAAATTATCTGGTTGCATTATTCTCATTTTGGTGTAAGGTTACTTACACCAAACAGCAATTTGATGAACTCATTGTAAAGTCAAAGTATTGCTAATTTAAGTTCCCAAACTCACCCCAATAGTTCTAGTATTCAAGGGCTCTAAGTCCCATGGCCCAGACCTCCAAACACTTCAAAGGAAATTCAGTTCTCTTTTCCAATCAGTAGCCTAAAAGTGAAAATCAACAGATGTTTAAAAACCCATATGATCAATTTTTAGAAAAATAAAATAGTAACATTTCCCTTCCTTTAATTTCTACCATGTCAGTTTGCCAATGTAGAACTACAATTATAATGCCTATCCTCTAAAATATCAAGTTATTTGAAAGAACTTCATGGATGTTTTGAAATTTACCAATGTGATCTTGGCCATTGAAAATTTTAGCTCTACAATGGACAATTTCTTATGACCAGTCATGCCAAATATCATGCAATTTTCAATTTTCTCCTAAATGTTAAAGGTAGTACTAATTAATCCTGTGAAATACTTTGGTAACTGAGAGTCAAGATCCAACAGCCTTAAGTAGGCTGCATGCAAAATTTACAGTTTGTGACTATTCTGCCAATTAATGAAATAGACTTCTGCTGCTGCTGTAGTAGTAGTAGTTTTAGCTTTGACTCAGTAATTACTCAGATGTGAGAACTGGCTGCCTGGTCATTTTAGACTTGTTCACTTGTCCATCAAAATGCTCAGATTTCAATTCAAGTCTCAGTTTCATCATTTTGGATTCATTGGAACCTGAAACTGAAAGACTTGGGAACAACCCAGACCAGTGGTGTAAAAAGTTGATGTCTGAATACGATTACTTAATGCTGTATGTATACAGAGGTGGGCTTTGTTGTGATAGTTTAACTTCCTCCGTGCATCTACCCAAAATAGTTGACACATGCAGAACAACCTCAAGCGGCTTTCATCAAATTCACCTTTACATTTAGTCTAGTAGAAAAAAAGGAAGAATAAGACATGGTAGTGCAGTTACGCTTTTGATGCTGAAGTAAGGCAAAGCCTGACGCTGTCATATATATGAGAGGTATGTTAGCATAGTTGGTCCATTC